AGTAAATTTGAATGTGATTTTCTAATATTACATAAGGTCTCTCTAGCTTTTGGAATTTCTAATCACATAATTTTTGATATATATTTCTTTTAGTCTTAAAATAGTATTTACTAATGGATTGACTCCTAGAAATAATGATTTCACATAAAACATAAGTAGCTACATTAGTTGAACATTGCCACTTTATGTAATTTTTTAATCATTAAAAAAATTTGTATTCTTCAACTGTTTTCACACAGTAGTAGGTAGGAGAAATTCTACTGATTTCATCTAATCTTAGGCAAACGACTTTATTTTAGTTTAACTTTAATTATGGGTGATAAACAAAATGCTATTTATATATCCCCCTACCTTCCCACTGTAGGATCAGCTGACCAATTATCAACAACTGACCAAGCAACTTCACATTAATAAGGTGAACACAGAAGTGGTAAGTAAAAATCACCATTTAGTGCACTTGTTTACATCAGCTAGAAATTGTTATTATGGATAATGTTTACGTAAGTGTAAATCAAGAAGAATTAGAAAATATACTTCATGAAATTAAAATAGGTAGTCAGTACTCTTTTTTATATTTTTCTTTCACATTCAATAGCATGACATAGTTCACAGAACCTTTTGTAGATCTAATATCGATCTGAAATATATCTTAATCTGAAAATTCACTTAGCATCCTTAGTAAGATCTCCTAAGACTAATCTAGCCTTCAAACTCCTCAAGAAGGAGAGCATACTTGACTCTTTGTTTTTTATCTAACACAATACTAGGTATTTAAGAAGAAAAATGTAACTGTTTAATGAATAGCCTATTTCCTAAAAAATATTAGGCAGCTAAGAACTGTGTGTTAGTTAATTAACCACTTTGGTAATCCTAAATTTCCCTATAATTTATTTCTAAAATAAATATAATTAACCAGTTGTACTTTTTACCTTTTTTATTCTCTTACTTTTATTTTTCTTGGAATTTTATTTGTACTTCCTTGTTGAATAATAGAGTTTATGACACACCAGGTAATTCCTTTCTTTCCTTTCCTCATTCTTGGTTATTTACTCTGCTAATTCTTCTTAACAACTAATAAAAATGTTTTTAAGAGTGGAGTTGTATCATTAAAAGTAGGTTTTCTAAATTTTTTCTACTTTAAATTTTTTTCTTTTTTAACCATGTAAAAAATTATTAAGCAAATCTCTTCCTATTTTTCTTAAGTTAACATTTAGAATTTCTAATCACATACAGTATTTGATAATATGCTTTTTAGAGTTTAAAAATACTAGTAAAGTGTTCCAGAAGAAAATGATTAGTGGTATCCATAATTAAGAAAGGCATTTTTTAACTTAGTCTATTTCCCTACATGGAATTAATAATTTAACCTGACATCACAGTTATTCATTCTTTCTTTCAGTATGTCTCCTAGGATTGGGAAATTATACAATCCTTTGCTTTCTCATACTACAGAGCCCCCCCCCTTTTTTTTAAATAAATAACCGTAAGTGATTTTGATGAAAGAAAGTCCTAGGAAAAGGATGTTTGAGTATTCTAAAAGAATACATTAAAAATTTCTAAGACAGAAGAATTCATGGTTTCATGCTAAGCTAAGAATAATAAACTATGGATGTAATAAAACTAATACAGTAATGGCAATATGGATAGACATGAGTATTATAAAAAGCAAAGACATGACTACACAGGTGGTAAAAATAAAGAAAAGTGGTTAAGAAAGATTTTAAAATGGATTTTTCATAAGGTACATAATGGATCTCAGCTCCGACTGATACGTGTAAAGGGAGCAGCTAAGTGCTCATGAAGACCTTGTACATCTCAAAGAGTGTTCTGAGCACAGACAAAGGAGTAAGTTTGAGTCAAGATGAAACTTGAGGGCGGCGCCTATGTCTCAAGGAGTAGGCCGCCAGTCC